TTTTTGAAGGAACTAGTTCATCTCAGATCCATGTGTGATATTTTACTAACTCACTAGCACATTAAAATTAAGGAGATGCTTAAAGTAGCATCCAATAATGTGACACAAAACTTTCAGAAGAACCAAGACTAGATGGGACAAAAACAAAGTTGCTGGAAAAGCTCAGCAGGTCTGGCAGCATCTGTGAAGGGAAAAAGAGTAAATGCTTCATGTTCGGTGACCCTCCTTCACAGTGAAGGAAAAAAGAGTAAATGCTTCATGTTCGGTGACCCTCCTTCACGGTGAAGGAAAAAAGAGTAAATGCTTCATGTTCGGTGACCCTCCTTCACAGATGCTGCCAGACCTGCTGAGTTTTCCAGCAACTTTGTTTTTGTTCCTGATTTACAGCATCTATAGTTCTTTTGGTTTTTATTAAGACTAGTTGGGTATCACTAAGTCCACATAATAAGAATGGACGAATGCATATCACTGAAAACCAATTTGCATTGGAAATTGGTGAATTATACTTCCTCTGACACCGTGTGCTGGCAATATGCAGCACAGAACTTTGTAGAATACAGTAACCTGAAGGGAGGCTAGAAGGCCTGTAAATCAGACAGGTCACTTATTCTAACTTGTTCCAGGCGTGTTGGGAAAACACATTTAATGTGTACATGTGACCATTCAAATCTTTATCGAAAATGTATTTAAAGTGCTGAACTGTCTGTGACTGAGGGGAAAAAACTGACTCATTTTCTCTCTCTCCTTGCCTCATTTTCCTTTTATTCACCACTTGCTGTTCTCAGAAGTTAAAGTGGTTCCAGCTGGTGAGTGTGTGGGATCGTCCTGCATTCTTCTCTCTGTCTTTCCAGTGGGTTCAAACTTAGAACAGCCAGAGCAATTGAGGGGCTGTAATAAGTGGGGTGACTGTGTGCTTAACTCATTAAATCCAGTGGGGCTGTGAATTTGAACCTGAAGCCTGCCCTGTAATTCAGACTTCCCTGTCTTTGTTGGATTTCAACTGTTCATTTCTCAGTTGAGTCAACGGATAGACACAATAGAACACAACTTGTGATCCAATCCATTTATGTTGTAAAAGAATTTTGAATTGCTTTCTGTGAAAAATTGAACCTAATTAAGAGAAAAAGACAACTTCACAAAGTGGTGAATGTTTGGAAAGGATTACAAATGGAAGTGTCTGAGTTCGATATTGTCAATAATTTTAAGGGGAATTGCACAGGCATTTGATGAGAAATTCAATGGATAATTATGTACAGTTTATGGCACTAGGGTTAATCTGAAGGATCAGAATGATTTTTTCTGGTTCTGTATGGTTTGAAATATGAAAAGTCCATTTGTTCTTTTGTTTTGCTCTGTCCATTTATTTGTATGTTAAACTGATACCACTTCCCAAGACTAGTTATCTACAATTGTCTCATTTAAGGGTTAAAATACTCCCTGTGGCCTCAACTATTTACAATCTATATCAACGACTTGGATGAAGGAATTGAATGTATGTTTGCTGACAATACAAAGAAAGATAAGAAAGCAAGTTGTGAAGAGGACATAACCTATCTATCTCCCGTTGTGTAAATCAACAAAAAAAATTAGAAGATGGAGTGAAATGTGGGAAAATGTGAACTTGCCTATTTTGGCAGCCACATGTTATTTAAAATAGTCTGAGACTGCAGAACTGTACAGAGGGATCAAGGTGTCCTAGTGCACACATTACAAATACTATGAAGGTACAGCAAGTGATTAAGACAAATACAATGTTGTTAATTGCAAGGGGAAATCAGTATAAAATAGTAGGTTTTGCTAGAATTATGTAAGCCTTTGGTGACTACACCTGAAGTGTTGTGCACAAGTTTAGTCCCTATATTTAAGAAATGATATGAGTGTATTAGAAACAGTGCACAGAACATTCACTTAACTGATTTCTAGGATGAAGGACTATGTTATGGGGAAAAATAGATAGTTTTGGCCCGCATGTATTGAAATTTAGAAGATTGACAGGTGATCTTATTGACGCATATATATTCCTGAGGTGAAAAATAGGTAGATGCTGAAGGGATGTTTCCTTTATAAAATGAGATTAGAACTGGTTTAATCATTAGGGGCCTGTCATTTAAGGTAGAAACAAGGAGATTATTTTTCTCTCAGAATGTTGTATTTAATGGAAGACTCCTAGCCCGAAAGTAGTGGAAGCAGGATGATTGAATATTTTTAAGCCTAAGTTAGATAGACACTTGATTAACAAGGGGGTCAGAGGGTAAGCAGGCTGACAGTAAAGTAGAGTTGAGACCAATGGTAGAAAAGACCTAAGGGACATACTCCTGCTTTTAATTCATATGTTTATAATTTCCTATTTTGATTGCTATTTGATTTCTGCCAAAGCAAACAATTTGCCTGGTACAATTTGGTAAATTAATAGATTTTTGCTTCAAGACCCCATGGATGTTTCCAATAATGGGATGGAAAATCATGCATTGCATAAGTGATTGTTTGATCCTAACAAATAGGGCTCAATGCAATGAGATATTTACACTAAAACACCAACTTAGGGGGTTTTGTGACACTGTAATGTCCCTACCTCTGAGCTAGGAGGCCTGGGTTCACATCCCACCTGTTCTAGCAGCATGCAACAATATCTTTGAGTCAGTGAATAGATTGATTAAAATATTTAAAACACCAACTTATATTAATATTAGCACTTTTAATGTAATAAAACGATCCAAGGGACTTCACAGGAGCATTCAGTGAGGATCTGATACCAAGCACATACAATGATGTTTCGGCTGTCATTCTCACATCATGAATGTTCTGAGTGGTCCATGAATTACAAATTTGTGTGTTCAAATTTAAAAATAACCAACATCGCAGCTTCTTGCATGAGATAAATGGCTATTTATTACATAATTGCTTCAAATTACTAAGTAAAAAGTGATAAAGTCATTATCTAGAATACAGATACAAAGATTTCAAGTGAGCAGGGATAAAAGTTACTTATAAAGGTGGAATAAGATCAGTCTCTAAGATCATTGCAGGTACATTACTTATTTGAAGATTCTCTTCTTGAAGTGAAGGGATTGAAAACTTGGAAATCAGAATTCAGTAGCCGTGATGGCTTCTCTGGTTGAATAGTTGGAGGCTATCTCCACTGGTGGACTTTGCAGAAAAGGTGTGGGACTGAGTGAAGACTCCTTTGTTTTGCTTTTTTGTTAATGGGATGCGGACATTGCTGTGAAGACCATCATTTGCTGTCCATCTTCATTTGCCCTTCTACTGAGTATCTTGCTTGAGCCAATTCAGGGGGCAGTTAAACAAGTCATGTTATTGTGGGTCTGGAATCCCATTTAGACCAGACGAGACAGCAGCTCTCCTTCCCCAAAGGGCATTAGTCAACCAGTTGGATTTGTACAACAATCAACAATACCTACATGGTTGCCATTAGACTAGCTTTTAAAGGCAGATTTTATTGAATTCAAATTTCGCCATTTTCCATGATAGGATTCAAACGCTTGACCTTAGAACATTAGCCTGGGTCTCTGGATTACTAGTCCAGTGACATTACCATTCTGCCTACTGCCTCCCTCGAATGGCACAGCAGGTTGTGGGCCTGGTTCAGTATAGCAGTCGTTTAGCTGTAACAAAACAGAGATTTCTGGAAAAGCTCAGCAGGTCTGACAGCATCTGTGGAGAGAAATCAGAGTTAACGTTTCAGGTCCAGTGACCCTTCCTCAGAACTGGCCTCAAAATCAGCTTTTCCAGCAATTTCTGTTTTTGTTTCTGATTTCCAGCATCCACAGATCTTTTAGTTTTTATTTAGTCCTTTAGCCGGTTTGTCTTCCTCTGCCACCCAGCTAAGAAGCAGTGAATGCCTCAAGGTCTATCAAACAAAAACGGTTGCTTGCAGCCTATCTTATACAGTTCAAAACCTAAATAGACTGCTATCTCAAAACTTGCAAATTGTGCTTCCACATTAAGCATTGGCTTGCCTAAGTCTGGGCCAATCTATATCCACTCTATTTTAGTCAAGGTAATTATTCAATTACCTTAGCCATTAGCTTGGATGGTCCCATAGTCAGGTTGTGATGAGCAAGGAAGTGATATTTACACTTCCAAGGAGCCATTGTCAAGTTGTTTCTGTTTATCCTTGGAAATATTCATTGCATTTTGAAAAATTGCATGATTTCTCCCTGAGATAAGTACAGCCTAGTCCCAGTACCAGCTGAAATGCACAAAAGTAGTCATATGATTTCTGGGAGCATTTAAGTTTGTGTACGTCTATTTTATGGACAGATTGGCTTTCTTTGCAAAATACCTAAACTGTCATGACAGGGGAGATGGCTAAAACCCTGGTAGAAGACACTTTAAGGAGCATTTTAAAGGAGGAAAGAGAGATAAAGTTCTGGAGAGGTTGAGGAAAGGAATTCTAGAGATTAGGGCATAGGTTGGTGAACACATGGTCAACAATGGTGAGGCAAATTAAAATGGGAAATACTCAAGGTGCCAGAATAGACAATTGTAGATATCATAAAGAGTGATGGACTGGAACAGACACAGAGAATATCAAGGATCGAATCCATGAAGATATTTAGAAACAGATGAAAATATTAAAATGAAGGTCTTGCTGAACTAGCTGTCGAGTTGATGGGAGAACAGGATATGAAAAAGTAGGGAAGAGTGTTTGGAGATGTCAAGTTTCTTGTTTTGAAGGTAAAGGAATATTACAGTGAAATGTAGGAGCAGCTGTACTTGTCAGCTCGCCCTTGCTATATCTACCCTGGGAGGTTTGGATGTGGGCAGCATACAGGAAGCTTTACTCTGTATCAAATCTGGTGGAGGAATCATGGGGGGCAATTTGAATGAGTTGTTTTGGGAGCTCTATTCTGAGTAGAACTTGCATCTAAGTGAAATTAAAACAAATTCACAAGCACAAAAAAGCTGCAGAAAAATAAAACTTTCTCAAATGATATACTTTACTAACATTTCTTCTTTGTTATCTTGATATAATTCAGGTTAACACCAGTAAACCAGAACAACCCTGCAGAAATCTAGCCTATATAAATGAGGCTTTCAGTAATTGGAATGAAGAATCGAACAATGGTGGTGCCACGTACAATCAGGGGGAAATCTCAAATGAACTGCTTGATGCTGCACCAGTTCAAGAACAAGAGTGTGCCATCAAACCCATCTTGACGAATGGAAAACTTGCTTCCTGCAAGTCCATTTGTGTCAAAGCTGATGTAATGGCAGAGGAAATTAGTACTGATACTGGACACCAAAATAAAGAATATAACAATGAGGAGCAGAGAGTAAATAGCAATTGCCCATTAGGAGTAAACTTGCAATTACCAAATAAGTCTGGCTTGGAGGAAAGGCCACAATGGGAAAATAAGAAGGAGCGACTTGAAGTTGTAAAGGAAACTGTGCAAGAAGCCGCAGGGCAGGCAGGAACTGTGCCAGAAGAAATGAAGAGCTCAGTTTTCATAGAAAAACAAGAGCTTACAGCAAATATGACAGAAGGGCAAGAGTATTCAATATCTGCAGCAGGCCTTGCAGACCTCATGACTGCTGCAGGGATAAAGCACTTGGTACCTAAAATAGAACAAGAACATCCAGTAAACATGTCAAGACAACAAGAGCACATAATATGTTCCAAGAAAACAGCAGGTGCAGTGGATTCAGTGGTAGGAGACGCAATAAAAGAAGGTACAGTAGGTACAAAAAGCCCAATAGCCCTAGAGCAGCCAGCAGCAACAGAACAGCATCCATTAGTTGAAAAGCAACCTGTGATAGAAGTAATAATGGAGCAACCAATGGCAGTACTATATCCAGCATCCACAGACCATCCAGTGAAAGTAGAAAATGCAGTGGCAACAGTATCTCCAGCATCAACAGAGTATCCAGTGGTAGTACAGCATCAAGTGGAAGCCGAGAATCCAGTAGAAATGGAGGATCCAGGGGTTACAATGCAGCAAGTGACAGGGAAAATGACAGCAGAATATCCAGCAGCCACAGAGTATTCAGTATCAGAAGACATGCTTATATATTGTCCAACCACAGGAGTAACTATAGAGGTCTTGGAAGGAGCAGAGGAAACTGAAGACACAGCAACAATAAAACCATCTATTGAAACTTCAGTGGTGGTCACAAAGTGTCCAGTGGCAGAAGATGGTATAGAACGGCTAGTGACAGAAGGACTGGCCATTGAGGTTCAGTCAATCACACAGCTGGATGCGGAAGATCCATCAGCAGAAGGATCAACCATAAAGGAGCCAGAGGGAGAAACACCTACAGAGGGTCAAATGGAAGCCAAAAGAAGCACATCAGCAGCAGGAGTGGATTTAGAGCTCTTAGGGGCAGTTAGGATTGACTCAGCAGCAGGAGAAATAAGCCTAGAATCTACAAGGCATCCAGCACCTAGTATGGTCAGAGAATGTTCAGTGGTTCCAGTGGGTTCACCAGACGCAGATTACTCATCAGCTCTTGAAAGAGGAGACAGTTCTGTAACTTTCGGGAAAAGCACCACAAATATGGTGATGCTTTAGGAAACACAAGATGAAAGAACTGTAACTGTCCACAATTCCACCAAGCCCTACTGCCCAACTTGCTGATATTTTGAGTAAAGTATGCAAAGTCCTAACCATTTGCGGTGTGAAGATCCCTTGCCTTCACCTCTGCAGATTAAATACCTATTTCAAGACCCTCTGTTATTCCTCTGACTTGTATTCTTGCAGTTTTAGTGCCGTTAAAAGATCTGCTTTCTCCTACATTACGAAAAGATTTGGTTTTCTACAGGATAAAAAGTTAAAGAAAAATATTTAATAAAATGTCAGGATATGATTAGAACCCATATAATCTAAGTCAGCTTCTGAAACAGAACGTGTGTAATTTGCTCCTGGGTGATGGACACTGCTGGAAGGTCAGCATTTATTGCACATCCATGGTTGCCACTTTCTCAAGGGCAATCTTTCTGAATTGTAGTTTGTGTAGGGAAGGTACTCCTACAATGTCATCTTGCAAGGAGTTCCACAATTAAAAGCTAATAACAAAGACAGTGATGTATTTCCATTTCAGCATGACATGTAACTTAGAAATAAGTCTGGGTTTGATGCTGTTGCCATGCATCTGCTGCCCTTATTCTTCCAAATGGTAGTAGGTTCTGCCAAAGAAGCCTTGAAGATGGTGCATTGCATCCAGTAGATCATCCACACTGTAGACAGTGATGGACTTCTGATAAAACAGATTGTTTTTTTTTCTGGATTGTGGCAATCATCTTGATTGCTGAAGTTGGATCAATATTTCCGATTTGACCTTATAATTTGTGCAACTTAAACAGAGTTCCAGGAGTTGTGAGTTGAGAGTTAGGTGAAGAGTCAAAGGATGTGTTCCTTTGTATTTCTCACTTCGTCCTGTTGGAATTAATTTTTACTCTTAGGTTTAAATTTCCGATTTATAGGCACAGGAAAAGGAGGCTGATTGATGAGTGAGGGGAATAGTTATATTTTCTTCTCTCTAATCTCCAAACCAAAAGTAAACTCAAGGTTAAAAGCATCTTGGCCACACAGAATGTCAATCCTATGGTATGTTGGGAATCATTGATGGACATTTGCACGAAGTGTTACCATTGAGATTACCATAGAGAGTTGAGTTCCTGGTTGCAGAGCTCAAGCTGCGGCTGGAGTCACTATCATGCATCAATAGAGCAGAGGACTACGTGGATAGTACATTTTAAGAGGATGTCACACCACACGATAGTGGCATGCAGGCATTTTATAAATTCATTCAGGAACGTGCAATAAATACTGGCCTAGCCAGCAACACCCACATCCTATAATTGCCTAGGGGGCAGTCAAGAGTCAATCACATTCGATGGGTCTGAGTTACATGTAGGCCAAACCAGTTAAGGATAGCAAATTCCTTGCCTAAAGGACACTACTGAACCAGATGGGTTTTTACAAAAGTCAACAATGTTCCATGGTTGCTGTTAACTAATTAGGGAAGGGGAGACCACCAGGCAATCCAAGAGAACCAGGCAGGTAATGCTGGAGTCCGAGACAATTTTGCCTGCTATTTGGTTTTCTGTTCTGGTAGCACTAGAATTGAGAATAGTAATAATAGTGGGAGGAGTTGGAATAAAATGCAAATTAAAATATTCTCAATCAAGCTTACAGTGCATGTATGTGAGTGCATGGAGTGTAGTAAATAGGATAGTTGAGCTACAAGTACAGATTATCATTTGGAATCATGTTGTGGCTATTTCAGAGGGTTGGCTCAAGGAAGCATAGATGCTAAATATTCCTGAATACAAAGTGCTCAAGAATAGTAGGAAGAGAAGGGAAGGAGAAGGGATAATGATATTGGTTAAGGAGAGCACTGCAATGCTGGAGAAAGAGAATGTCCTACAGGGTTCAAGGACAGAATGAGTTTGGCTAGAGTTGTGATATAAAAAAGGTGCAACTACATTGCTTGGTGAAGTTTACAGGCCATCAACTAATGGAAAGGATGTACACATTATAGGGCAGTTATACTGGGGGAATTTAATTATCTGAATGCAGACTGAGGTAATGGCAGAGGGTAAAAGGAAGCAAAGTTCAACAACAGCATGTGTTCAGTCCAACAATAAAGCAAGCAATGCTAGACTGGGTTCTTAGGAATGAGGTGGGCCAAACAGATCAAGTGTCAATGGAAAAACACTTAGAAGACAATGATCTTTGTATCATAAGGTTTAGGATGACAGTAGAAAAGAATAACAAACAATCCAGAACAAGAACAATTAACTGGAAGAGAGGTCACTTCGTTGGGGCAAGAACAGAGTTGAGCTGAATAGACTGGAGTCAGAGATTGGTGGGAAAATGGTACTTGAACAATGGGCTGCCTCTAAAGAAGAAATATTTAGGCACAGTCAATATTTATTATCTCATTAGGGAAAGGTACAGCAAATAAAGCCATAGCTCTCTAGATGAAAAATGAGATAGAAACTAAAATAAAGAAGAAAAAGTGTGTTTACGAAAATTGTCAGTTAAAAAAAATACAATTGTGAAACAAGCTGAATACAAAAGATTCAAAAGAAGGTGAAAAAGCAAATGAGAGAAGCAAAGAAGAATTATGCAAAGTGATCAACAGCTAACACAAAAAGAAATCCCTGTGTCTTCTTTAGGCACAAAAAAATAAAAGGGTCCAATTAGGGACCAAAAAGGGAATTTACACAATAAAGCAAAGGGCTATGGCTGAGATATGAAATTAATACTTTGCATCTGTCTATCCCAAGGAAGCAAATATTGCCCAGGCCATGGTAACAAAGGAGGAAATTCAGTCAGTAGCAGCATTCAAAACTGATAAGCAGAAGAAACTGTTGGTATCGTTGATACGCACTAAACCAGATGATTTGCATCCAAGGATAATAAAGGAAGTGAGTGTAGAAATTAGAGACAGCTCAAGGTTATGAGAGGCATTACATAGTTTTTGTTTCTTAATAACATGGACCTCAGGCCGCTAATTGTTCCTACAGAGTCCATTGTTTTCCATCAATGACTCAACTTAATGGGCTCCTTTGCAGAGTTGCCATTCTCCTGTACAGGAGTACCACTAACTGAAGGAAATTTAAAAATAAATTAAATTGTGTCCTATTTATGACATAAATTTTTTTCAGATCAAACTTTACAATCAGCAGAAAACTGCAAGAATCAGAATAAGATCCATTGTCTAGAAATTACAAGATGTTTACCCATAAAGGCACAGAATGAAATCATCAGATTTCCTCGTATTGCAACTTGAGCAGTAATGCAAGATCCTGGATGAAATGTTCACCTATCTCTCCCTTTCGCATGCTAACCGATTTGGTCTGAATTTTGAAGCACTTTACATTTTTACGATTTCAAGTTTTTTTTTGATTTTAACATAACGGGTTTCAGCTTGAGATTAAAACTAATGATTGATTCACAAAAGATTTACCATTTTGAGCGGGGTAAGATAGAAATCTAGAACCATATATATTCAGTGGGTGAAATATAATGTTGAAAGAAATAAGCAAAGGACATTTCACAATATAGGAGAAAGGTCTCTGTCCATAAAAGTATACAAATCATCAGCTTGTTTATAAAGAAATGTAGAGCCTCGTTTACTTAGGAATTTTTCCCCACAATGACTTAAAACTCTAAGTTGGTTTTGCTGATATTAACAAATACTTAATGTATTTATCATTAATAAAATTGGTTGAACTTGTTCAGATGTTAATTTATCCTCTGATAACAAAGACATCAATAACACATTTATCTCAAATACATCAGGAATACTGTAAGAACATATTGTGTGTTCTGTTACAAGTAATACTAACAGGAATGTCTTAGCTTTAATATGAAGCCATTCCTGGCGTTCTGATCTTCTTGCACCCTCTGCAAAATCCTAAGTTTATATGTAGATCATGGATAGGTACAATGTTGACAAATCATTAATCCCTTTCAGTTAATTAAGTTTAATTGGTCCAATAATGACTTAATGTTATTTACAATTGAATCAATAATGTTGAATAAATAATTGTTATAAAAAGACATTGCTGGACTGGTCTACTTTAATGTGATAAAACTCCACTGTAATAATGGGTTTTACTGTACATGTATGTATTTGGTGAAGATAATGATGAACACAGTCCTTTAAATGCCATCACAAATTTATAACATTCAGACAAGATATCAAAATTCAGGTTCAAGACAATTTGCAGCGTGCTTTTAAAAGCTGGTACAGGGCATGGCTACCATCCTTTGTGAGAATGTGTTCCATAACAGAGATGTATTTTCATGGGGCCATGTCCTTCTCTTTTCTAGATTAGTGCCCCACAAATAGAAGATGGTTCATTTAGCAACTCCAACAACTCATTTGGGAAACCAATTCTCTAAGAAAAGTGCCTACTGTTCTCCAATTGGGTATTCTGTACTCTACTGCACAAACTTTTTTAAAAATTTATTCATTAACAGGATGAGGGCAGCATTTATTGTCCATCCCGAAATTGCACAGAGGGCAGTTAAGAGTCAACCACATTGCTGTGGGTCTGGAGTCACGTGTAGGTCAGACCAGGAAAGGATGGTAGTTTCCTTCCCTAAAGGACATTAGTGAACCAGATGGGTCTCTCTAACAATCAATTCATGGTCATCATTAGACCCTTAATTCCAGATTTTTTTTAAAAATTGAATTCAAATTTCACCATCTGCTGCAGCAAGATTTGAACCCAGGTCCCCAGGACATTAACTGAGTCTCTGGACTAACAGTCTAGTAATAATACCACTAGGCCATCACCTCCCATGTACTTGTACCTTCATTGGAAGTTCAGTGCACCATTGACCTATGAATCAGTAACCATTGCTTTGTTAGTACCCTGAATGACGGACATGAGCTCTATTGATCCCTTGAATGTAAGAACAAATGAAATATGATAAAGTGCAGATGATTTAGCTTTTTGGCTCCTCGCTGCTATTTAACATAATGATGACTGATTTTCTACCTCAGTTCCATTTTCTTGCCTACTGCCCATAACCCTTGACTCCTGAAATATCAAAAATCTATCAATTTGAAAGATCAGCCCCTTAGTCTGAGGCATTACCCCCATATTCTAAATTCCCCAACCAGAGGAAACAACTCCTCAGTGTTATGTCAGGCCCCTTCAGCATCTTAAATGGCATCAGCATCTCCTGTTCTTCTAAACTTGACAGAATATATTCCCAATTTATTCAGCTTTTCATCATCACATAATAACCCCCTCATCCCACACACAGTTCTTCAGATGTGGCCTCATTCAACTCTTACATAAGTGTATCAAGACTGTCATAGTTTTATACTTCAAATCCCTTTCTTTTTATGTACATACACTTGTGGGACATGGCGTTGCTTGTTGGCCAGCAATTTTTTGCCCATCCTTAGCTGTCCTTGAGAAGGTGGTGGTGATCTGCCTTCTTGAACCGCTACAGTCCATGTACTGTAAGTTGATCCATAATGCCCTTATGAAGGGAATCCCAGGATTTTGACCTAGTGACAGTGAAAGAACAGCAATACATTTCCAAGTCACAATGGTACGTGTCTTACAGAGGAACTCGTAGGTGGTAGTGTTCCATGTATCTGCTGCCTTTGTTCTAATAGATAGCAGCGGTCATGTGTTTGGAAGATGTTGTCTGAGGATCTTTGGTGAATTTCTGCAGTGCATCTTGTGTATAGTAGAAACTGCTTCTACTGAGCAGCGATGGTGGAAGAAGCGGATGTTTGTGGATGTGGTGCCAATGAAGAGGGCTGCTTTATTCTGGATGGTGTCAAGCTTCTTCGATGTTGGTGAAGCTGGCAGGTATTCCATCACACTCCTGACTTGTGCCTCGTAGATAGTGAACAGAATTTGGGGAGTCAGGAGATAAGTTACTCGCTGCAGTATTCCTGGCCCTTGACTTGCTCTTGTAGCCACTGTGTTTATGTGGTGAGTCCAGTTGAATTTCTGGTCAATGGTTATCCCAAGATGTTGGCAGTGAGGGATTTATTGATGGTAATACCATTAAATGTAAAGGGGAGGTGGTTAGATCATCTCTTATTGGAGCCAGTCATTGCCTGGCATTTGTGTGGTGTAAATGTTACTTGCCATTTGTCAGCCTAAGTTTAGATATTGTCCAGATCTTGTTGCATCAGTATTTGTGGAGTCGCGAATGGTGCTGAACATTGTGCAATCACTGATAAACATCCTCCCTTCTGACCTTGTGACAGAGGGAAGCAGCTTTGATGAAGCAGCTGAACAGGTTGGATCTAGGACACTAACCTGAGGGACTCCTGCAGAAATGTCCTGAAGCTGAGATGACTAACCTCCAACAACCACAACCATCTTCCTAGGTGTTCAGCATGATTCCAAGCAGTGGAGATTTTGCTCTCTGAAACCCATTGATTCCAGTTTTGCTAGGACTCTTTAATGCCACACTCAGTCAAATGTGGCCTCAATGTCAAGGACTGTCGCTCTCACCACCTCTAGAATTCAGTCTTTTGTTCATGTTTGAATAAAGGCTGTAATGAGGTCAGGAGTTGAGTGGCACTGGTGGAACTCAAACTGGGCGTCAGTGAGCAGGTTATTGCTAAGCATGTGCTGCTTGATATCACTGTTGATTACACCTTCCATCATTTTACTGATGATTGAGAGTTGACTCATGGGGTGGTAATTGGCCAGGTTGGATTTGTCCTGCTTTGTGTGTACAGGAAGAGCTTTGTTGCAGAAGTGACAGGTTCTGGAGCACAAGTCTTTAGTGCTATTGTCAGCAAGTTGTCTGTAGCCTTTACAGTATCCACTGCATCTAACTGCTTCTTGATATCACACGTAGTGAATCAAATTGGCTGAAGATTGGTATGGGTGATGCTAGGGACAACTGGAGAAGACTGAGATGGTTCATCCACTTTTCTAGCAGAAGATTGATGCAAATGCTTCAGCCTCATCTTTCGTTCTGCTGAATCCTTGAATGGGAGACTACTGTTCCACTGCTGCATCTATTACTCCACCAACACTCTACAATAAAGCTAAAATACCAAATGCCTTCCTAATTACTTGCTGTAGCTCTGTAAAACTAAAAAACATGCTAACTTTATTCCTTATACAAGTACCTTCAAATCTCTTGGGATATTACTTTTTAAAAATTTCACGTTAAAAAATATTTTGTTATTCTCTTCTTATGACAAACCTTATGAGTAACCTCATACATCCCACATTGTGCTCCCTTTGCCAACTGTTTGTTCACATATTCAGCCTGTCTGTATTGCTTTGTAATCATATATGTCCTTCTCACAGCTTACATTGCACAACTTTATGTTATATTGTCAACAAACTTAAATTGCAAGACCGAAAGTAATCCACATCATTAAGTATAGGTTGTAACAAGCTGAGGGCCCAACATTGATCCAAGCTACACACCACTCATTAGCCTCTCAACTTGAAAAATGTTTTGTTTAACCCCACCATGTTTGTGATCCTCCAACTCCATGAATGCATATGTTGACCTTTTGTGCAGAACTTATCCAATACCTTTTGGAAATCCAAGTATACTCAATCCACTAATTCCCCTTTCTTTACTCTAGTCAAAACATTGACAAATTTGTCAAACCCTATGTCCCTTTCATAAAACAATACTGGCACTGTCTGATCATGTTATGATTGTCTAAATGAATTCTTAAGTCATTCTTATACAAATCCAGCAAGGAAACCTATGCTCTACTCATTCACTGAATGGCAGTTCAGTGTTCTGTTGAATTCTTAAATAGGAGGCTAATGTTCCAATGCTGTATCTCTACTCCTCTGAATGGGAATCTACACTGGAACTACCAAGACCTAAATGGGAGGTCAATGCATTACCACTGGAACTACAGGTCCTCTGAAAGGCAGTTCAATACTCTACTCCTGGAACTACTAATCCTCTGAATGGAAGTCCAGCTGTTAAACGGGAAGTGCTCAATTTTTGTTTTCCACTGGATATTTAAGCACAATCATATTAATATATAACAAATCTTGAATATCACACACACCTTGCATCATCTCAGACGATGTTGGAGTCATGGTTTACAGGTACCAAGTCTGAAAGGTTTGCTGTGATGTTCTCATTAAAAATCTGGAATCCCTTTAATCTGAAATAAAAACAGAAAATGCTGGAAATACTCCAGAGGAAAAAAACATCTGTGGAGTTAATGTTTCAGGTTGATAACCTTTCATTAGTTCTACTCTGCTCTCCACTGATGCCGCTGAACCTGCTGAATACTTCAGCACTTTCTGCTTTTATTTCTAATTGATCATTCTTCTGGAGTGCAATCTTTCAGTATACAAGTAAAGGCTTATTTGCATTATTGCAGTGACTGCATTTCCACATAATTAATAGGTGACATGTCTGACACGTTACTAAAATAACAGTTTCCCACAATCTTTAGACAATGCAACATGAAAAGAGTTAGCACAGCTTCAATTTTAATGGCACAATACATACATTTTTCTTAAAAATCACAACAGTAAAATTAGCTATGAAGTTCCAGTACACCACTTACTTGATCATTCTTCACATGCACTAAGACTCTCAGACCCAAGCATTTTTGTATGTTGGAGAGATCAGAAAGCTAAATTTTCAGTCATGGGAAAAGACACCAGGAATTTAGCGTAGGACCCAGTAATGCTGGGATTCCACACCATTTCATGTTCATGCTTTAAATTTTGGTGTATGGAACTGTGAGCAGTCCTCCTCATGAAAGAACCATGTCTAGAGAAGATTCTGGAACAGACTGGAATTTCAGCCTTTCAGTTTACTTTGGACTCAACAGCATGTGTATCCATTGAGATTATGAGGCCAACTGAAGTCTGTAAAAAGGCCAAAAATCTTTGCCATAGAAAGATAACCAAAACAATCTCTGATTTTCCTTGAAAGGCTAGCTCCTTCACATGGAGCAGAAGACGTGAATATTAAGTACTGATTTATTACATCGCCAGACCTTCTTTTTGCCATTAAAGTGTTACTGCACCAATGTGACATTCCAGCTGCCAATTTGGAAAAAGGTGCATCAGTGTCATACCTTCATCCTGAATATGTAAATAACCTCCTTTTCTTGGTCTAGGGAGGATTGGGGTTTTCACTGTACTGCGCCTGTGATGGTGGAGCAGACCACCAGAAATCTCAGGACCTTGGCCTTGGTACAGGCAGGCTTCACTAACATGTAGCACCTCCCAGCTAAACTCAATCCTGTCCTTGTCAACTTTACACAAATGAATACACACACACATTTTCCAATTGATGGCAATCAAGACTGGGAATCCAGGATAAATTGATGATTGTAATACCCATTTGCATTCTGGCCAAGATCAGCTAATTCAACATCAATTAGAAATCAAACATGTAACCTAACTGTTCTTAATGGTTCAGTACCAATTTAGAGGGTGAATTTATTTTATGAGTCATCAGGAAACCCCCGATCTTGATTCCAGAGCTTAGTGCAACTAATCACATCCTTGAGGAATAACAGTAACAGTTCTACAGACAAAACAGCAGATCACTTTCACTTAATTGCACTTGTAGTGTTTCGTTTAAGGGACAACGTAAGCCGAAACGCCGGTCAACCCTTGTATTGTAGGATGATTGGGCACAAGCTTTCAGAACACAGCATGAGCATAAATACTTGATAAGTCTTATATAAGACAGTGTGAGTGCAGACACTCAATGAGTTGTATTTAAGGCAGCACAAGTGCGAGAAATGATCAAGACTCATTAGCATAACACTCAAAAGGCCTTTTAAAAGAAATAGTGGAAGCACATATAGTCAGTACCTTGTAGAAGAGAAAATAAGTGCACACAGTGACAAAGCTTGAACAATGGAGACCTGAGTGTAAGCACTATTTAAGTTTTGTGTAATAACGGGACGGACGAAATATCACTCACTTCAAGTGTAAAACTCCTATTTGGTGGAATGCATAATTCATACTACTGGCTCTCAACCAATAGCTACTAAAAACTACTTATGACCTGACCAGAGTGGTAAAAACAGTTACCAGTTGCTGGTAACAATCCAGCACAGGGATTCACTTTCAGCCATCCTTCACTCTCATCTTCAAGGCTTTTCAGATTCATCCTGGGACAGATGACTTGTTTGGCTACACATCCTGATACTGGGATGGAGTTCTATTCAAGTTCACTTCCACAAGTCTGAAGGCATGCAACACAGCAGTTATTTGCATTAACAGTCTCCTGAAGATATCAATTGAAGGGTTCAAGAGGTTTCTTATTCCAATGAAAACGTTCAGCAGGAATATCATGATGGGTTGCAGTAGACTGTTGAACAAAGATGCCAGGAGTGGCTTCAGTAGATGATCTCCAATTACTGTCAAGAGTCCAACCAATAGGACTTGGAAGACTGACCGACATAAGAAATTTAACAGCTCAATCAAAAACAAACTGAACATGTTCACCAGTATCCTTACTACTGCAAACAGATTTCTCCAACACTGCCGAATTGCATCATCAGACCTGTAAAGAGTAATACAGCAAGCTGTAAGCAGCTTATATATGTCCAAATATAATGATTGTATTAATACATCAAAAAGAATGGGGGAGAAGATCTGTGGGATTCTACCAGTCTCTCACTGTGCTTTAGGGGTAACCCTTCAGAGACGGTGTAAAAATATGATTTTAGCAGTTTATGTTATTTATATAAGCGTTATAGCAATTCTCCATTGGAGAATTCCCAAGAAAATTCCAGCAGTAAGTGCAGACTTGATACTGCATTACAGATGCACATCACTTGTTCTCAGCTTCTAATCTGAAACTGATGAATAGATTCCAATCAAACCAGAAAACAATCTCCAATTGGAGAAGATTTAGTGGAAAAGAAAATGCTGCAATTAGACTTTCAACAGGAAGGGAGAATTTATACAGATTAGTGAGGTAAACTGAGTAGGATTTCACATATCATTTGCTGATAAAACCACAATAATTCAGCTTTAAATACATGCAGGAACATCACTTATGATCTAGTAGGTAAAACAGGTTGGCAAAAACCAAGTCAAATTGCAAGCCTTTGGGAGGAATAGTTAAAATTCCAGTTAATAGCTAAGTTTTAAAGGATGAAAACCCGATATATGGGTGGAGGGACTTGGGGATGGAATCCCAGAGCTGAGGACCTTCATGGCTGAAGTCATATTTGACAATAGGTAGGCAAATGGAATTAAAACACCAGAGGCTAGAGGAACATGAAGTTCCCAGTGAGTTATTGAGGTAAAGGTATTTATAGGGGATGAAGAGTTCAAGCTATGAAGGAAATTTGATCACATGTTGAGAATCTTCACTGGGACGCTTTGGCCAACCAGGAGCAAATGCTAAAATACAAGTGACAGGAGATTGGAGTAATTAATTCTATCTGTAGTTGCGTGGCAGAGACTGGATGCAGGAGATATTAAGAGTGGAAGTAAGCAGTAGTTTTGGATGGAATCAGTGACTAAAGTATGGAGTTTGTGAATGAGTTGAAAAATGATGGCTTTTGCATCTCCACTATTAACTGGGAAACATGCCTCACTGTGCCAGGTTGCTATTGTATCTAATAAAGACATGTTCTCTTACCAGTCTGCCAAGTTATTAATGCAATTTTCAGTATGTTCCTTCCTGGTCTCATAGAAGTACTGATGTCCAAAGTCAAAGTGATACACTTGCCTGAGCAATCAAAAATAGAAGAGGAGAAAGTTACGTAAAGGAAAGATGTAAACTAGGTTTTCCTGAGCATGAATCTACACTAATAACAACGTATCGTGGGGAGTTATAACTTTGACCATCAATGGGTTACCATGGAGTCCCCAGAATGCTGAACTCCTGTCCTGGAGCCTTGCAGAGGCAGGGTGGGAAGCTGTGGGAGACAGGAGATACATTGGAATGATTCCCTTTTCCATTCTCATCTCTTTGGCAATTTTCCAGGGTGGTCTGAGTTCTACAATGGAATCTTCTATTTCTACTTTTATGACTTACTTGGGAAAACGCACTAATGCTCAAGCCTCACTACTCACAGGGTCACCACAAAAGTTAGTGATTCAAACAAATCATGCAAAGTCCCAATTTACCTACCTGATGGACTCAAGTTAACAGAGAACACTGACCAGGTTCCTGTACTTAGCAAGAACTACTACTACAAATAAGTAAATTCTAATCTAAAGTAAACAGCTGTGAACTTTCAACATGTGGCTCTATGGATGGCTCTTGTAGTGCAGTAGTAGTATCCCGACCTCTAAGTCAGGAGATCTGGGTTCAAGTTCTACTTACTCCAGAGGCACGTTATAACATCTCTGAACAAGTTGACTGAAAAAAAATTAGGTAAAACTTTACCTCCCTCTTTTTAAAATACCTACACCCAATAGCACCAGTCCATAGGATTCACTGAATGTTCCTTTGGCTTGCCAGGATTTTCTGATCTTCGATCTCTTTATCTAGATTCTTTAACTTCTTCACTGGAAGCACAGGGTGATTGTTGCACTAATTACAAAATCTCTTTTTTTCTTTATTCGTTCACAGGATGTGGATGTCACTGGCTAGGCCAGTATTTATTGCTCATCTCTGATTGCCCAGAGTGCAGTTATGAGTGAACCATATTGCTGTGGATATGGAGCCAGACCAGGTAAGGACACCAGATTTCGTTCCCTAAAGAACATGAGTGAACCAGATTGTTTTTATGACAATCGACAGTGCTTGCATGGCTGCCATTGGGTAGCTTTTTATTCCAAACTATGTCACCAGAACATTTACCTGGGGTTCTGGATTACTAGTCTAGTAACGTTACCACTATGCCACTGTGTCCCCTCTTAGTTATTTGTTATTGACAATAGCTTTCAGGGCCGACAATACTATTCTGTAGTTATTGCAAAGAATTCTTAATGGAAACAAGATAAAAGAGGCACTTCAACATTAATTGCTGCAATTTCTGAGACAGTATATTTGGGACACTAGACAAAAATAATGAATTTTCTGGGTTCTCATACAAAAGTAGAACATCATTCTCATGACTCAGTATCGCTGAAGGGCTTTCCTGCATATGCAGAGTTTGCTGTTCCCTATAAACTTGTACAATCTCATTAGATTCATTCTGACTTTCGCCTGTTGAAAGATTCTTGCAGACACTTGACAATGCTGGAAGTACAACAAACTTCTATCAATATACAACAGCCACATGTACTGCTACTTTATGAATGTTGCCAGTCACATAATCTGGCATCATCATAAGAGAAGGTGAAGAATTCTGCTAACAGTGCTCTGGAAGTGAAACAGAGGGATCTTAATGAACTATATCACGGATTTGCAATGATAAGCAATAAATACTGGCCTAGCCAGCAATGCCTGCCTCCTCTGAGCAAATAAACAAAAAGTCGAGTACCACCTAGATCATCTTTCTGAACTGATGAAACAGTGCCTAAAAACATGTGTCTCTTAGTTATAAATCTCTAAAGAAACAGACTCATCCTTGCCCATTATAAATAAAGATGAAAAGGAAGAAAGCTGATCAATCTCTTGGCAAAGCTGAAATACAAAACTCACAATAAAATCCTCCAATCTTCTTGACATGAAACTGCAATTCACGGGAAAAACTGCTGGAAATCTTCACAAAATATTGTTGAAACTTCTTTGGATGAAATCTCATGCTTTTGGACAAACTGAGTTAATTCCTCACAAAATGGAATGTAGTCATCAAATTGGCATGAAGGTCTTTTACCTAGGCTGGAATGTTTGGTAACAGCCATAGAAGACCTAGTTGGACACAAACCTGCTAACTCAACAAGGATAGTAGGAACTGCAGATGCTGGAGAATCTGAGATAACAAGGTGTAGAGCTGGATGAACACAGCAGGCCAAGCAGCATCATAGGAGCAGGAAGGCTGACGTTTTGGGCCTAGACCCTTCTTCAGAAATGGGGGAGGGGAAGGGGGTTCTGAAATAAATAGGGAGAGAGGGGGAGGCGGATAGAAGATGGATAGAGGAGAAGATAGGTGGAGAAGAAACAGACAGGTCAAAGAGGCGGGGATGGAGCCAGTAAAGGTGAGTGTAGGTGGGGAGGTAGGGAGGAGATAGGTCAGTCCAGGGAGGATGGACAGGTCAAGGGGGCGGGATGAGGTTAGTAGGTAGCAGATGGGGGTGGGGCTTGAGGTGGGAGGAGGGGATAGGTGAGAGGAAGGACAGGTTAGGGAGGCGGGGACGACCTTCCCCTCCCCCATAACTCAACAAGGATTTATTTTGATTCTGATAAGCATAAATAGGCTTCTTAATAAGATGATCAATGTAGGCAAGAGTTGCATCAAAATAATCTTGAACTGAAATGGTAAAGCTTCCCAGACCATGGAGTATGATTTTTGACAGTCAAAGATAAACAACATGAAGACATTCTGAGTTGTCAGAAAACTCAGTAATAGTTGTGCCTGATTAAAAAAAAATTTAGTGTCAGAATTCTTGACTTTCAAGGTTACTGACCAATAATCTTGGCCCAGATCATCATCTGCTGTAGGGCCAACAATATCCACTTGGCTAAGAAATTATATAACTTACACGTCTTCTCCTTTTTCTTGTTCAATTTGCTAGATTATCCCTTCTTTTGGAGATGATCTGTTTAATTTACTTTTAAGGGGCAAACTAAAATTGCAAAATTGCTGAAAATGACAGTACCTGCTGCATTTAATACTCATTGCTGTACGATCTTTTTGCTTGTGTTACTTACCTTCTTGCCCCAACTATCACACAGTTTGTAAAGTGCACAATTAGTATGGGAGTGCAGCAGAGTGAGATGAAGATCAAGTGAGTTCTAACTGATTACTATTGGAAATTTGGTTCAATGTGGAAATTTAATGCAAAAGTGGGCTTCAGGTGCTTTAACTAGGGTTTACTACAGGAAGCAAACAAGAAGTGAGTGAAAGAAGATAAAAGGTGTGGAAAGGGACACCAACCTGAGTTAGACCAGTGGCAAGAACAACACGAACCATTGTGTGATGCAAATATAGGCAAAGAAGCTGATTGATAAATATTCCTCGTCATTAAAATCAACTTCAGTTTGTGTTTAGGTCTCAGTATTTTCTTCTTTTTCTTAAAAATGACTACTTAAGTATTAGATTGATTGTTTTTTTTCTCTCATTTTAGTTTACAAAAACTACATGTCAGTAGAATGAAGCGTAATGGGAAGGGAATCTCGAGTAATCAATTTATAAATTAAATCCAATATGATAGCAATGGCAGGACAGGTGATGTGTTGCTACTGCAACATGTGAAGCTGCTGGACATCAATCTAATTGCAAAGTAAACACATCCGTAATCAAGGTTTGCAGCTCAATGAACTTTGGATCTGTGTTGAGATGGTGCAGTCTGAGCTGCAGGCATTGCACCATGTCAGGGAAGCGGAAAGTAACCTCAACACTTTGCTCTACAAGGCAGTCACAAGGGTACATAACACTAGGTGACAGGGTTAAGGACATCTCTTTGGGGCTGAGGGAGAACTTGGACAGGGAGGTGTGGGATCCAGCAGTTGTCCACAGTGATACCAAAATGAGGTTTTGCTGAAAGAATTTAAACAGTTACGAGCTAAATTATAATACAGAACCTCCAAAGTAATAATCTCTGGAATACTACCTAAGCTACAGGCAAACTGGCATTGGGTAAATAAAGTCAAGAAGTTAATTGCATGGCTCAAAGATTGGTGTAGGTGTAATGGCTTTTAGTTTGTGGGGCACTGACACGAGCACTAGGTAGAAGTGTGCAGTTCCGATGGGAGGGGCATCACTTGAATTTCACCAGAATAAGTGTCCTGGTGCAGTGAATAACTAGGGCTGTAGAGAGGTCTTCGGATTAATTAGAGAGGGGAAATGTAGGCTTACAAAGGCAGAGGATAACAATACCCAGAGTGGGACAAAAAGAGATAGAGTATACAAACAAAGAAAAACAGCAATATATAGGATCAAAAGGGGAAATACTGGTGAAAGGCAAAACTGATGGCTCTTTACTTGAAAGTGTGTAGTATACAGAACAACATAGATGAATTAACCACATAAATACAAGTTAATGTGAATGACCTTATAGCCATTATATGGACATAGTTACAAAACAGATAAAAGCTGAGAACTAAATGTTTAAGGGTATGCAACTGAAAGGGAATGAAAGGGCATGTGGTAGCATTGTTGGTATGGGATAGAATAAGTACAATCAAAAGAAATGATTTTGAATTGTAAAATGCAGAATACATACTGGTAGAATTAAGAAATAACAAGGGAAAATTTTGCATGATCAAGGAGGAGAGATCATATCTGGAGTGAGCCCGAGTAACTGTATTTCTCTGGGAGTTCAGTGCAGAGGGGAGGAAATGCTTTTTTTTTGGCTCATAGTTTGTCAAGTTTTTTTTAACAGGATAAATTGAAGCCTAGGACCGGACACCCAGCACAAAGCAAAGAGTGACATCACAGGAAAACCATAAGTTCATTGGCTGGTAATAACTGCTAACTTGACTCTCTACTACAGATTGCTTTCAAATTAAAAGTAAAAAGGAGAAATAGTTTACAAAATACAAACTGTAGTGAATTCAGACTTCAGCTCATTAACCCTGAGATGGAGTTCCTCACGCAAACAACATATTCTATTGATGTGGTCACTATGAACCACAATGGGGTCCACCAGCTCCCACATCATGCAGGTACAATT